CAGACTCACTCGCACTCTGATTCACTGAAGGGGCCCTGGGACACACACACACATAGATACACACAAATAACAGAATTCCCCATCTTTTCCCATACGTTATTGATTGTTTGTCTTCCCCCCTACTTCCCATAGTTTCCCATATTTTCTGAAAACCGACGATTAATTGTGTCTGTATGTTTCTTTCCCTCTTGATTCACTCGCATCCTCCTCTTCCTCCCTCGGACTCAATCATACTCACCTTCATGTACACTTAGACTCACACACATAGACCCACTCACATTCCACTCACTCTCATTCACTCTCACTCATCCTACGACTCACTCATGTTCAGGCATAATATCACTATGACTCTGATTCACTCACAATCACCCTCATTCGCAATTGGACTTGCGACGCGCTCGCGTTCAGACTCGCAGATTGCGAGGATGTATCAGCTGACTTTCTGGCTTCAGCACGCCAAGCGGGGCCGCCAGAAGTGCGTGCGCGGCCCCGTTCGCGGCCAGATTGTGAAGATGTCTCTTGCGGTTTGTCTGTTTGATTGCTTGGACGTCGCCGTTTTCAGAGCAGAGAGTGATGATGCCTTAGCCGGTTCGCTGGCTTCAGCACCCAAGGGGAAGCCGCCAGGAGTGGTTGCACGGCCCCGTTCACAGCCAGGTTGTGGTGAGTTCCCCAGCGGTTTGCCTGCTTGGTTGAAGCGGGCTGTTACTGCTTCTCAACCATTATGCTGGCTTCAGCACTACAAGGGGGGGCCGCCAGGGCTGGTTGCACGGCCCCGCTCGCGGCCAGATGGAGGAGATGGCTCGAGCGGCTTACCTGCTTGGTTGCTTGGCTTTGTCAGTCTGCTTCCGTAGCAGAGTGTAAGGATGTGTCAGCAGATTTGCTGGTCACAGCACCATCAGGAGGAGCCGCGAGGGGTGGTTTCACTCCCCCGTTCGCGGCCGGATTGTGAGGACGTATCCAGCGGTTTGCCTGTTTGGCGATGTTTCCCAGTCAGAGTGTGAGGATGTGCCAAGCGGTTCGCCTCTCTGGTGGCCCAGACGCCCCTGCTTTCAGAACAGAGTGCGGGGATGCCATGAGCAGCTTGCCTCTTTGGGTGGCCCAGACCACTTGTTTTCAGAAAAGGTCGCAAGGCTGCCTTGAGGCGAGACACCCCAACTAGGAGGGGCGCCAGGGCTCCTTCGCGCCCAGACTGGCGGCACGTCTCTGGCGGTGTGCCCGATCCGGCCCGCCTGCTCCTCTGCCATTTTCACAGCAGGTTGCGAGGAGTGCCGTGAGCGAGGCGCTGGCTCCGGAGCCGCCAGAGAGCAGATTGTGAGGACGTCTCGCGCGAGGCGCTGGCTCACCACCCCGAGGGATTGTAAGGACATCTTCGGGGGCGCGCAACACGTGGCTCAGCGATCCATGGATTTGGCGCGCGGTCGCCAAATCAATGGATCGGGGGAGGTGCCCTCCACAAAATGCGGCCGGCGCCGCCCCGTTCGGCAGCCAAACTCCGCGACTTCAGATAAAAACGGGACCCGTCGCTAATCCACGCCCCCTTGATCCACGCTTGCGATCGCCTGACATCTCGAGGGAGGCGCTGGCTCCCAGCCCCCCCCGACGGGGAGCCGCCAACTGTGGGGCTGTCGCGAGCGAGGCGCCTGGCTTGCTCGTCGGATGCCTGTCCATGCGGAGCCCCATGACCACCTCGATGTAGGGAAAAAGGACATCCGCCAGGGAGGAGCAGGGAGGACGAAGGAGGAACTGGGAGAGTGCAGGAGGAGCGAGGAGGGAGGGGGGAGGCAGAAGGACGAAGGGCGACGGCACAAAGGAGGAAGCACAGGGGAGGGGGCCGCCAGGAAGGGGGGCATTCGCCAGGGCGGAGCAGGCAGGACTGAGGAGGCGGGAGGGCTGAGGAAAGAGGAGAACTCAGGAAGGATGAAAAAGGCGGACCCAGGAGGAAAATCGGGGAAGGAGGAAGAGCAGGGACGGGGTTGCGACGACGAGGAAGAGGAAGATGGGAGTGACCTGCTCACCGCCTTTTTGTGAGTTGTTAGTTATCGTTGTCGTCGCTGCCGCTCCGCGTAGCCGCCGCCGCCGCCATCGCCGTCGCCGTCGCCGTCGCCGTCGCCATCGCCGTCGTCATCGTCGTCGTCGTCGACGTTGTGGTCGTCGTCGAGGTTGCCGTCGTCGTCGTCGAAGTCGCCGTACCCGTCGTCCACTTGGACTCGCACCCACACCCAGACACTCACAGTCAGACACCCCAAACGGGACGTGCCAAGAAATGGATGATGCACACACATGAGGATCTCCGAGCCGAGTACTGAAATGTTGAACCACCAGACAGCACGGCACCGAAGAATCGCTCGGCCTCCAAACTCCCCCCAAAAAACAGAGCCCCACGACAACACTGACGGTCCCCAACAAAATGGAGCCCCACGACAACAGAAAATGGAGCCCCCCCGAGAAATGGAGCCCACCCCAAAAAATGGAGCCCCCCAAAAAAGGAGCCCCCCCCCCC